CTTTCAAATGAACAGAATTTATCAATAATAATGTTATTTTTATTATAACTTTGAATATATACTGTACCTGGACCTTCTGAAAAAACGTTTTCGCAAAGTAAAATCGAGCAACCAGTATATTCGAATTCAACTGCTCTATCTTGAAGATTGATAAACTTGCAGATGTATGCAAAGCATTTGCTAGATGCTGCTGTGACTTTTTCAACTTCACCGGTAAAAACTTTGGAAGGAGGACTAATTCCTTCATAATAAAGGTTCCAAAACTATCTTGATCAGCATCGCTATGGGAATACTTCTCGAGCAATTAATTGCACTTAAACAATGAGTTTTTAGACACATTGCAAAAGTAATAAAAAGGATGGGGGTGACACCAAAAGTGAACTTCCTTCATAAAAAAATGAAATTCACTGGAATATTCATCAAATATTTATTATTTATCTGTTAGTTTGGTTAAATCAAAAGTATAGCTGTTCAGAATTATTCATTTTTTATAAGTCTGGGAAATCTATTGTATACGTGTTACTTCTCATCGAGCTGATAATAACAAATTATATTATCGTATTCAATGTAATGATAATACATTTCTCTGGGTAACTCCAAACTCCATAAATGATGAAACAAATAAATTATTTGTAAGGTACTTTTATAACGACAGATCCTGTTGATGATGATTTATTTTTAACTCGAGAAGATAAAGATAATCCAAGCATTGTATTCAAAGAAAAATATAAAGATGAATAATATAACAATTTATAAATATAAACAAATAAAACAATTAATCAATTCCTTTGAGGAACTTATTATTATAATTATAGGCTGATTTGGCATTATCTCTTTTGATTCTGGGAGTAGATTTATAATTATCATCATCTGAACTAGAATTATCAAGGAATTTTCGTTTAAAAGGCGAGGTTTTTGAATGGGTTTCTTTATTTGTTGTTGTTTTTGGAGTTGATTGTTGATAATTTTCTTTTTGTGAAATTTTTGTTGTTGATTTGCTAATTTTAGGTGTATTGTAATTATACTTCTTTGGTGTATTGAATTTGTCTTGTTTGAGTCCGGATTCATCATCACTTGATGAAGAGAATATAAATCTTGATCCGTTTTTAAGAGTTAAAGGGGATATTTTATCTGGGTCACTATCGAATATATGGTTGAACTCAAATAGATATGTTTCATTAGACAAAACTGACTCTGAAAGTCGAGATCGATAATTCATTGTCGAAATGACCTGATATTTATCTGGATCTGTTTCGTATCTGTTCAGTTTAGGATATTTACTAACACGAAAGCCACGATGATCGTCATCACTAGCATAAACTCCGTCTTTTGGAATTCCAAGAAACAAAACTTCTTCGTTGTTTTCTTCTTCATATGAATATTCGTATTCAATATCAATATCAATTCCTGTGTTTAATTCTTGTTGTTCTTCAATAAATGCAGCATTTGGTTTTCTTTTGACTCTTTTTGAGCCTTTCTTAGGTTTTTCGTAAGGTTGACGAGGTTTGTAATAGTCATATTCTGGATAAAACTCGAAATTATCTTCTTTTTCTTCTTCTTCAAGATATGAATATGAATTTTTTGTATTTGTGGAAATTATTGATGTATTTATTTCGGATTTTTCTTCTGTAATGTCGTCAAGCTGTAATTGGTCTTGTGATGGAATTAATTCAGAAATTTTATTATTAATAGATTTTTTAATTGGTGATTCATTAAATAATTGATCTTCGGCTTCTTCTGATATACTTTCTAATATTAAATTTGAATTAGAATTGTTTCTTACAAAGTTATTTTGAAAATGTAGGATTTCGTTAACACCGCTCGCATTTTTGTTCGCTATACTTATTTAAATTAAGCTACCTTAAACATACTTGTACCAAATATTAAAACTCTCTCAAATGTTAAATACAAAATTAATTAAATTATTAAGTTGAAAACTTTCACAATTTTCCACTTTAATATGCGTGCTTGACTAGGAACATCAATGGTAACATCTCGATATATTCATTTGTGGCAAATAAAAAGATTATGAAATTTATTATGAATATTACACAAAAAAAAGGAGGTGATAGTAAGACAAAAATAGACATATTATCATGTTTGTCTAATTCATCTATGCATTGTATATAATCGAAATTTATTTTGTAACTCACGTATTTTCAAGCTACCTTAAATATCTTCCTAGTATAAAATCGTTTACAATTCATTTCCACTCAAATCTAGTTAAATTTATTATAATATTATTATCAATATAATTCCTTACTCATAAATCACTCATTATCTCACACATATGATATAAGCTCAGCTAGTATTATCTAAATTTTTCATTATTACTCCTTGAATAAATCTACATGTGGAACCCTGAGTTGAGTGACTTCTAAATATTCATGATTAAAAATGTGAACCAAATTGCAAATTTTTAATAAAACCAAGCAATCTATGATGCATACTGTTATAAATTTATGAGAAAGACATGAGAGAGGGTCAAAGTTGCTATTTGTCACTTTTCCACAAGAATATAATGGGGAAAAAGTTATCATATAGTTGATCTCATTCACTGAGGTGAGAGATGCATGTAGTGTAATGTTATAAACAGTGGGATTGCTGCTCTAAGTCCTAGGTTCGAGACACATTGGCTTCATTTTTCTCTTTTTTATTGACGTAAACTATTCAATTTTTGTGTTCTCCATTCAAATTTCAGAATTTTTTTTGCAGATTTCACGCTACATTCGAAGTTACCTTTTGTAACAACCACCACTGCCTACGAAAGACGAAAGTGTGTCACGATTTCACCCGGAAATCCGACGGTTGTTTAAGAGTAAGCACTTTTGGCACCTACTCGAAAAATCAACATTTAAGGTTAATTTAAGAGTATGCACTTTTGTCACCTACTCAAAATGTGAACCAAATTGCAAATTTTTAATAAAACCAAGCAATCTATGATGCATACTGTTATAAATTTATGAGAAAGACATGCAGCATTATGAGAAAAGACTACGTTTTTTCTCTCAAAAAATTGAATTGCTATTCAACTGCGATTTTGAGATGACTATATTATAATAAATTTAACTAGATTTGAGTGGAAATGAATTCTAAACGATTTTATATTAGGAAATGGTGTCTATTTATGCCAAGGCATATAATAAATAATAATTTTGAGGATATATTAGCCATAAGACTTAAATAGCTTAGTGGAAAACTCAATAAAGATTAGGACAAGTATTATTCTCCAATATCGATGATTTCAAACTTGGAATTGGGCGAAATTATTTGATAAAAATTCCATTGGAAGGATTTGAAAAGTTTTAACTATAATGAATGTATAACTTATGTGATAAGAAATTGAAATGAATATGAGTTTAAAGGAATTAATTAAGAAAATTTATTAGAATATATACTGAATTAAAAGACATAACTTGCATAAAAATAAATGATTTAGCTAAAATATTTTAATAACCCTCGATCCCAAAAATTACAAAGCATTCCAAAGTTTCGAGATATTTAAATTTTAATAAAATTTTCGAAATTTAATTTTTTTCTAAAGTGTCAAATAACGTATTTTCTTTCAGAAATATTTTTCAAAAATTTCATGTTCACGTTTATAAGCAATATATACTGAGTAATATTTTTTGGCGATGTCAGATTTTTTTGAATGGTTTACGATTTTTAACATAGGTTTATTCCTAATATTACTAAATAAATATTTTATTTATTACAATTTTGGTCGCTCAAAAACCATAAAATTTTGAGAGTTGGAGTACTTCTAAAAAACATGTAAAATAATATTGTTCGTATGTCAGGATGTGAAAAGTGCATACTTGTGTAATTGAAATTTTTATCATTTAATCAATAAAACAAGTGAAATATCAAATTTACCAAAAAGAAAATTTATAAGTTTAAAAGAAGAACAAATTTTATTTTCTTTCTTTGGAACAAATAATAATACTATTTCAAGATTTCCTTCACATGGACTTAAATCAATGAATGTTAAATTATTCTTAAATGATTCTGTTCCTCTCTCTGTTGTATCAACTGTTCTATCAGTTGATAAATCATCAATACTACATCGATGTATATAAATTTTTCCGCCATAATCTGCATTAAATAAAACTCCTTTGTTATTCGGTCGATTGTTTTGGAAAGATGAATTGAAAATATCAAGTCTATTCATATAAATATAAACTAATACAGAATATTGCTCTTGAGAATTATTTATATAATTACATCGGTCAATTCTTCCTTGACAATGAGGAAACCCAGTAATAATACATCCAGTTACTTTTAAATTCTCAAAATTACAAAATGAAACATTTACTGTTGATTCAACATTTTGATAAGTAAAACCTGGATCTATTGATGAAATACAGTTAGAAATGTTTGTTTTTGAAAGTGATCCAAAACCTTGAGATTGGTAATTCATATAATTTACTGAACTATTTCCTCCATTACAAATTGATCCCTGGAGAATTGTACTGTTGATTTTACCTTCGAAATAAGTAAATTGGCCATCTGTAGGAGTTTGACTTTCAAATGAACAGAATTTATCAATAATAATGTTATTTTTACTATAACCTTTAATATAAACTGTACCTGGACCTTCTGAAAAAACGTTTTCGCAAAGTAAAATCGAGTAAACATTTGTATATTCGAATTTAACTGCTCTATCTTGAAGATTGATAAACTTGCAGATGTATGCAAAGCATTTTTTTGCTGGAGCAGTGACTTTTTCAACTTCACCGGTAAAAACTTCGGAAGGAGGACTAATTCCATCATAATAAAGGTTCCAAATGCTATCTTGATTGGCATCTCTATGGGAATACCTTTTAAAGGCAATTAATTTGACTTAAACAATGAGTTTTTAGATTCATTGCAAAAGTAATAAAAAGTCGGGGGTTACACCATAAGTGAAATTCACTGAAACATTCATCAAATATTTATTATTTATGTTTTAGTTTTGTTAAATCAAAAGTTTAGAAGTTCAGAATTATTCATTTTTTATAATGTCTGGGAAATCTATTGTACGTGTTACATCTCATCGAGCTGATAATAACAAATTATATTATCGTATTCAATGTAATGATAATACATTTCTCTGGGTTACTCCAAACTCCATAAATGATGAAACAAATAAATTATTTGTAAGATACTTTTATAATGACGATCATGAACTCAAAGATATAGTAACTCAGACAGATCCCGTTGATGATGATTTATTTTTAAATCGAGAAGACAAAGATAAACCAGAATTAGTTGACATTTTTAATGACTTCCCTGAATTTGAAGAGCAAGAACATCATGCAACGAACTACATTGTTGTAAATTCTGTTACAAAACTTGATGAAAAGTCAGAATACATGTGTTATTATCATTATCTTGGTGAAACAACTATGATGTCATGCACTCTTACAAGAGCTAAGAATATATTCCCAAGGGAGCTTGCAACTTTTCTTCTAACACTTGCAATACGAAAATAACAAGTTATTGATCGAAAAAATGTAGTTTTGATACTACTTATTAATGTATTGTTGCATCCAAAAAGATATATAGGATGTTTTCTCTATTTTTTCAACGATTAATCTTTTCAAATATATCAAATACTATTTTTGGCCTTTACTATTTAAGTATTCGTATTTATTCTCTGTTTGAATTATTATTTCTAATAAAAACATATAATTTTTTGATTATATCAAAATTTATTTAAAAATTAATTAGAAAAACCACAACTATTTGTGACTTTTTGTTTCGATGACCCATGAAATTGCCTCCAATTCAATTCTAATTAGTTCTTGACTGAAATCATCTAGATATTGACGAATATGACCCTTAATTTCAATAATCTTATGCTTAGATGATAAGTTATGTATAAGTAAGTTGTACCATAGGAGTTTTGGAATCATATAACTTTTGAGAGGAAAATAATCGCTATCAAATATATGACGAAGAAAAATCAGCGTCCCGACTTGAATAAGCAGGAGTACTCACACGAGGACTTCCAATCAGTTATGGGATATCCTAAAATATATGTAGATGGTATGATTTAATTTCTAACAAACAGTAAAAAATAGAAAAGTTCAATGTCCAAATTGCGGATACGAAGGTCACACATACGATCAATGTACAGTCCCCACGCAAGAAAAGCTATTCGAAATGCTTGGACCCAGATTATTCGACACTTCTCCACATGCAATTCAAGAGAAAGAGTCAATGATAAGAAGTCAGGCTCTGCAAAAGAAGAACTGACTCTGACTCTCATATTAGATACTACTTGGTTATTATTTTTATCTGTTTTTTTAGAATCCACGTGATTCAAATTTTGTAAGTGCTTAAATATTACGAATTATACTGTAAGTCTGATAGACGCTAAGTTTTATTAGCGAAACATACTTTTTTGTATTGATTATTTCTGAAAAAAATTTAAAATTAATTTGTAACTTTTGTTAAATTTTCGTAAGCGATATATATATTTATTTGATGAAAATTGTTAGATTTTATAACCGAAGATATGAATGGGGACGTCAAATTTGATCATATCAACTTTATTTGAATGGATAGAAGTGATGCGTTTGAAATCTTCATAGTTTTCCTTTGGCAAATGGCTTGGTTGACTTTAGGAATGCAACATAGCAAATCTAAATGATGAGTTGAAAATCACAAAAGATTTTGTGATTCTGAAAGAGATTTTTGCATCATTGAGTAGATTCTAAGTTTGATCATTTGCTTAAATTAGCAATATTCATTTTCATTGCCGTTATTTTTGCGTTATAAAAATTTCGAGAGAGAAAAACATGTCGATTCATGAGCCCAGTGAAGCAGAATCGACTTTTCAAGGATCGAAACTAATAGACAATATATATTTTGTTGCAACTGCCAAGCAATTAGCACAAAATTCCAAACTTATCATTGATCCAAAAGCATATCGCAAACCAATAGATACAGAATCATATAACTTAGCACTGAAATTTATTTCTCAATACTTATCAAGCCATAAATTCAATTTAGCACTGGATGTTGCCAGTAAAGAATCAAATAATTCAGTAAAACTTATTACACAAAAAGCTTTTGTCAATAAAAGATTGAAATTAAGTACAGAAACATCCCCTGTAGTACAACTAATCAAAGCTAAAAATCCACCAAAAGAACCAAAACAAACAAAATCAAGAAGTATCCTGAAAATTGAAAGAGAATTAGTTCAATCATCTGATTCTGAACTTACAGAGCAAAGTATTGTAGCTGAGGCTATCGAAATGCAACAAGAAAATATCAAATCAAATCAAAGTTCAAAGCATCATAAAAGGAAATCAAAAAAGCGTGCATTAGAGAATGTTGATACAGGTGACACATTCACAGAAGAGAGTGAAGTCTTTGTTCTTCCTTTACATGATCCTGCTTATGGATTGCCAAAGGAACAGCAAAAGAAGATGGTCAAATCTAAGCAACCACAACCTAAGAATGTAGAATCTTCTAAGAATGGATCATCAAAGAGAACTAAAAGCAGAGTTCGTAAATCATCCAAGCATTCTTCAACAAATATTGGATCAGAATACTCTTATACATACGTTTATACGGAATCAGAGTCTACCCCATCCAAACAATCAGGAGTACAATTAAAATTACCAACTCCTCCGATTTCAGAGACATATGGAACTGGATCTTACTATTCCGGATATTCTTATACATACGGATCTGGAACTGGCTCATATTATAGTCAGAGCTATAGTAAAAACCCTTATTCTGCTTCATCTCCGTTATCTGTCAAATCATCAAACATTTCTTCATCGAAATCCTCGGTTTTACCTCCAAAAGAACCTTCTCTTAAGGTATATGAGCCTGGACTTCAAAGAGCTGAAGAAGGTTCTTTAGATTTTCTCCAAAGAACTGCAAAAGACAGTGACGAATCGAGTGATGACGATGATGGCAAGGAAGTTAAACTCAGTAAGTATTCAGCACCTGCTGTTGAAGGAATGAAAGCTGTAAAAGGAAATAATTTCTTTGACAAAAATGCAATCAAAGAAGCCCAAAAAGATCCACGTCTTAAGCCTTCCCAGATACAGAAAGCTAACTTCTCCGAGAAATCATGCGCTTCTCGTAAATCCGTCGCATCTGCTCACATTTCTGTTGCATCTGAGAAACCATTGATGCCAGAAGAGCCAGAAGGTAAGAAATCGAAGAAGTCTTCTACTGCTTCTAAGAAAGAGAAAGTTCCTGAGCCTCAACCGCAGCCAGAACCAGAAAAAGAAGAAATTGTTGAAGCTGAAGAAGAAGATGAAAAGGATGAGGAAGAGGAACAACATGAGGAAGATGAGGAGGAGGAAGAAGAAGAGGATGCTGGTGAAGAGGAAGAAGCAGCTGAAGGAGAAGAGTAAATCATCAGGAAAAATTATGTTTTAATAAATTATCTTTATTTTAAATGGTATGTTCTTTTTATGTGTATTGAAAATACTGCAAGGATCATGATTTTTATAAAAAAATTCAAAAATTTCTTTACAATTACAAAAGATAATATGAAATTATTCAAGTATTAGAAGTCTTTGCATGTAACTGATGCTCACTTCGCTGGTTTAATATGTTTTTATTTGCAAAAAAAAACCCCAAATTCTCAAAAATAAGGAAGATTATATTTGATTTTGACTGTCATTTTGTTTTATTTCAAATTTGGTAAAAATTAAAATCAGGCAGATGGAAGAGTAAATCCTTTATAAATCTATTTTCAAAGTATTTTTTGGATTACACTATTTTTCAAAGAGATACAGATCAGAATAAATTCTACTCTTGCTATTGAAGAGATTTAACTCAATGGAATTGACTAATAGAGTATACTTTAATATGATATTAAACCATGATGAACAATACTGTTGTAATTTAACTGACATTTAATGAAATTATGAGAATTATGATACACAATTCTATGTTCAATAACAACTGCTATATGTAATGCTATTTTATCTAATCCAAATGCCATTACAGCACGAGTATAAAAATCGCGCCAAATTTTATTTTTGAATGCAGATTTATCGAACACCAAATCATTACCATAGTGTTCAATGGATCAATAAACTATTTGTATTAAAATAAATTTATGGGGCAACCGGGAAAATTTTCCCCGTGATTCTTTCGTAAAAAAAGAAAACAGCTTTTTTTGATAATTTTTAATTGCATGATAAGTAAGTAAGACAATACAAAACTCAATTAAGTTATAGGCGTTGATGCAAGCCGAAATATTGCTCAGCATCGCCCATAGACTGGAAGTGAACAAGTTGACGGTTTGCTGGATATTTCTCCTCATAACAGACAGGGAATGCCATGTTTGCTGGAAGGACTTGTTGTGAGCGTGTATGAATTAATTGGCGGCTTTCGTGTGGTTGAGTGTATTCTTCTGCTTCTGGTTTGTACTGGCAAAGGTCAATTGATGACTCTGCCCATTGTATACATTCGTCGATTTTACCTAACTTGATGAAATTTCCGTATTTCTTCAACATTGCGCCATTCCAATGATGATAGAGTGACGAATCACTTCTTTTACTTCCGGAAAATCTTCGGTAAAGCTGCCAAAATGACCAAGGTATTTTGGGAGAAACGGTTTTACCACATGACAACAGAAATAATACTTAAACCGCCTTTTTCTTGTGTCTCCATGTAAACTTGAGGAACAGCCAATACATACCTTGCTGTCACGTCTTCTTCGAAGATACAGATAAACAGTAATTGAGGAACAGTTAATATAGTATTGTACATGGAAATATAAAGAGAATCTAAAGCGGATGTAGCACTAAAACCGTTAAAGAAACCGTAATAAATTTGTTGCAAGGCCATCATCGTGTTCTTATAGAATGTCAACAAAGTCAAAAGCGCGCATCTATTAGCACACCATCTACCGTGAACAAGCAATAGCTTTGCAAGATGTTTGAAAGAAGGAATTGAAAAATCACTTGACATAACAGCTTCAGATCCTTCTCTTCCTTCAACTCCTACACCAACATTTGCAGCACGTAGCATGTCAACATCATTTGATCCGTCGCCAATTGCTAATGCTCCTTTGGAAGGATGCATTGTCATGAACGCTCTGACGATGTTTCCTTTCTGTTGGGGTTCACAGCGAGCACAAACAACTGATACGCATTCTTCTGCATATGAATAAAATTCTTTGATGACATTTTCATCTGATGCCAAAATCTTGTTTAAATTACAACCATCGATAGCAACTAATGTCTTGTTTAAATCAAGATCTGCTAGTCTACTGTAATGGTTTTCGACATCATCCATAGTAATAACAACAATCTTTTGGCTTTTGTCGCAAAGACCACTTGTTTGCGCGATATTTAATGCTGTATCGAGTTTGTCGCCTGTTAACATCCATATTTTGATGTTCGCATGGCGCAATCTGTGTAATGTGATGCGGACATCGTCTTGTAGTTCATCGTCAACGCCTGAGAACCCGAAAACTTCTAATCCTTGCTCTGCATCATCAGCTAGTTCTTTTAATTGTTGCTGTCTGTTTTCTACAGATTCCATTGCTTCTTTGTACCTGTCGAATAAGTCTTTGTCTGTGGCATTGAGAGGGCAACGTGCGAATGTCAGTGTTCTTAAGCCTTTGTCACTGATTTGGTCAAGTGTTTTGACGAAATCTGGATGACATTCAGATCTTGGAAGAACTGTACTATCTGCGCCTTTCATGTACATCATAATAGTACTATCTTCGTCATCTTGCTTTTGTACAAGTACTGACATTCGCTTTCTTTTTGAGTTGAACTCAAAAATTACGGGTCTTTTGTAAACTGTCAGTTTTCCATTGATGATTACACTTACAGTTGTTGAAGTTGTGTTGTAAAGTATGTATCCGCACTCGCGCGCGAAGTGGATAAGTGCGATCTCATCGGGGGAAGCACTTTGGTACGAAATTAAATAAGGAAATTTCGATACAACTTCTGCGGAAGGTAAATCCAAGGGAAATTCGAAGTCAGGGAAGACCCTTCGGATTTCTGATAGCTTGTAGTACGTACTGTTCGACAAAGTTTGTATGCCATGACACAAAACTATTGTCAATAAGAAATCTCTGACATTTTCATCAGTTTCGTTGTGCTCTGTCATCCATCTTATACACTCCGGTGATACTGAAACAAGTCTTTCCGATGTAACTTGCTCCCATGAATTGATATCGTCTAATATTAATTTTGATGGCGGCTTTTTGTTCTGTTCTAAGCCAAATACAGCACTTTGGAATGCAACTGCTTTGAAAGTCATCTGATTTTTGGTGATTGTACCTGTTTTATCTGAAAAAATGTGAGTTACTCTTCCTATTGAGCAAACTAAGTCAGAATTTCGACAAAATGAGTTCTTTTCGCCATCCATCATCGTTTTATCATGTGTTATACTCTGAGAGAGGAAGAATCTGACAAGATCTAGTGTCGAATAAATTGATGATGGAATGACAATGTTCAAAATCAAAAGCCATGAAAATATCTGGTAGAAATAATTAATAAATGGTAATTCGTGGAGATCTAAGTACCCAGAATTAATATGCTGCCTTGTCCAGACGTAATTTCCAACTGTTAAGCCAATACAAATAATAGCTAGCGAAATTGAGAGAATAATGACCATTCTGTCAAGAAAAGTGTCAAGTTCTGTAAATTTGAAGTGTGGTTTTGCTGCATTTAAAATTGATTTCGTATCTTTGCCTGTATAAATGATAACACCAACTGCAAATGCAGTCTTTCGTAATATACAGCCACGAGGTACAAAGTAATTTAAGTCTATTGGCGTAGTTTGGTTTTTCGCGATAATTTTGCCGTTGAAGTCTGTTAAATCAGGTGTAGGCTTTGAAACATGTATTTCCATAGCGCACTTGTGGAGTTCGCCAGGTACGGATGCTTTAAACTTTAAATTTGTCTCTCCATCGAGAGCAGAAGTTTCAATTCTGCATCTTCCGTCTGTTGATTGCGAATATAACATCACGACATCTGCAGGAAATGTGCAATCATTTTCAATATATACCAATTGACCAACGTTTAAGTGTTGCCACTCTTCATCAACAACACTTCCGTCGCGATTAACAACTTTCGCTATACGCGTGTTAATAGTTTCATCTGCTTTGTGCTTTTTATAATCTTCAAATCCGTTTTTGATTGCTGTAATTGATAACATTAAAAGTATAGATAAAAAGCCAGTTACGGGATCTAGTTGTGATATTTGTGGAACTGCTTGGATGATAGCACAAAAAAGAAAGTATATATTTGCAAATCTGTGAAACTGTTCCCACAAATTTAAAAATATGAAGTTCCACCATGTATAACGACTCGTAATGATGATATTTTCGTATGGTTGTGGATTGGGATTCGGTGAATGTATCACTCTTGCGCCATCCCCGTCTTGCGCAAGAGGATTACTCATTGAATATCAATAAAATTTTTCAACAACAGAATTTACCGTAAACGAGAAAACTTCGAATTTATTGATTTTAGGATACCCTTACATTGCGTAGTTAGAAAGAGAATATGATATTGTCATGATTGTTAAAGTTTTAGGCTCCAGAAATGAATATACATCAAACTGAAACAATTGATAAATTGAATGAACTTTTGAGAGGTTCTCAAATAAAAAAAATTATCTAATTTTTTACAATATTACTATTATTTTATCCACATATGTATATATAGTAATTTGAGAAAACTTTTAGGAAAAAATAAGTTTAATAAAAATCTGAATTTTACTTGTTGTGGGATTGTTATTAATTGACACTCCAGACGTATTACTAATAGTTATGCGTATGCAATTAAAGTATTTCTGATGGACAAAATGTGAGATTTATATCAGATAATTCATTTCTACTATTAAGTTATTCATTTATGAGTTTGCACTTATTCGCACTAAATAAATAACTATTAAAAATTGTTTTAATTAATTGACACCATATAATAGAGTGAATTTTGTTTGATCAAACAACAATAGATGATAGATATAAAGCCAAGAAACTTGCTATTAATATGCTCTACTTGCTATTTCAATGTAAGTATGATATTTTCTAAATGTTTCGTTCAGATAACTTAGATATATTAGTCAAAATTTGAAATTTTAATAGCACATATATTAAAAATAATTATTATTCATAAAAGATTAATGAAATAGTAAAAAATCAATCAAATTATAAAAATACAACATTTAGAAGAATTCTTATTATCCTTCAAAAAGTCAGTATTTCTGCTGTAATTTTCTACAACATTGTAGTTATTGCACTTTGTCTATGGATTTGTATATATGTTATATATAAATTATATATCTAAACTGCCCATAAGTGCAATTTTTATATAAATTGTTTATTTCTTTAACAATTTCATATGAAATATGCTTTTTTAAGCGTATCAAAGCTGTGTTCTTAATGTGCATGGATATATCAAGAAAAATGTCGAAAAAAAAATGTGAATTCACAAATTCACTGAATTTTCACCGTTTTTTGAATTTTGCTACAGCACTAATATTAAATAATACTAAAATCTTCTGTCTTTGTAAAAGAATAAATTCTGACAAAAAGTGCTCGTTTAAATTTAATGATCATCTGTATGACTAAGTGGTAAAAAGTGTTTATGACCAAAAAAGGGTTACATGCTTAGTCTATTTTTCTGACAGGATACTCTAGATTTACATGATCTCTATTTCATATCTCCGTTTTTAGATTCTTCGACAGATTTTATGATAGAAAACCAAGATTAACAAATTTCTGGCATGTTAATGAAGAAATCTGCAGCTACCCTCAATATTATTTCAATAATCAGTATCGTTTCTCTTACAATTTATTTTTTTCTCAATAATTTAACAAGAAATAACAATACACACTTGGTTTTACGTATAAAAGCTAAGTGTCGAACTTAATCAACTTTACTTACTTAGCAAATGAATATTTTTGTGGTTGCGAGTTCTGAATGCTGAAGTTTTAGATTTCTCTATAAATGATATCATTGCACTTACAATGTTGTTCCAGTCTATCGCATAAATCATAGAAAATCCAAAAAAAAAAATAATATAAAGAAAATTCATGTCATGAAGTTCAAAAAATACCGTGTAACATTAAAATTTGTTATGCATAATACATTTTAGCTATTATTGATTTTTTTTAATTTTCGAGAAATTGAATAGTGAGTCCGATAGAGAAATTTTTAAAAATCCTAGTGCCTCATAGAAGTAATTTCCCTCGTCTCCCATACTTCCAAATGTATGCATATGACATAAACTTTTATGCATTACACAAATGGCCAATAATATCTATAGAGTAAAAAATTAGAAATTTAATTTTTTTATATGATAGTTATATTTCAGATTTGCGAGCGTAACTTTTTTCTCCATGGCATACTTGTTTTAAGAGCAAATGATCAAAATCGTCCTTCAATTATTGAAGGAGCTGATATCTTTTGAAAATTGAATTGAAAGGGTATTCAATTTTCAAATTTCCTCTCAATTTTGGAAACATATCAACTCTATGAATTAACAATTATGTGCCTTCACAGTTTATCAGTCATATAAGGTGCTTATAAAGAAAAAAGTTACGCTCGCAAAATATGTTTTTATATAGATTTCACATAAAATAATTATGTAATTTCTAAAAAGAATATTTTTGTTCTTGAATATTAAAGTGTATTGTAGTTTAAAAAGTTTTAAATATGTTGCTAAAATTTCAGGTTTATAGCTCATGTCTAGCATGACTTCTTCGTATGCGCAAAAAATCTGACACGTAAGGGTATCCTTTATATTTTATTAATCAATTTCTCTAACCTTGGTTTGAATTACGATCAAATTTGAATGGTGAGATTATTGTAAATTTCGATCCTAAATTCGTTCTTTTTTAAGGCTGCAATTACGCCCATCTGACATTAATTCAAATTTTTGACAACCGGTGTGAAGCGATATTGAAAATTAGCCTTAAACACTTGAATTGAATGCCCGTCATATGGGCGTAAGTGCACCCTTAAGAAAATTTCGGTTCAGATATATATAATTGGTCCTGGAAATGTTAAAGGACGAATTTATTCAAGTGTTTAAGATTTGTAACACCGAAAACAAATATAGAATTGTTAAGATATATGGTTCCAGGACCTTTGTTGAAAACGTTTTCGATAAGTAAAAATGAAAAATCTGAAATAGATTCGAATTTGATGACTCGATCTTGTATATTTGTGAATGTACATATGTATGTGAAGCATTTGTTTTCGGTTGCTGTGACGTTCTGGTTTTCACCTTGAATAACTTTAGAAGGAGGGCTAATTCCTGCATAATAATGAAGCCAAACACTATTAGGATCTTCTTCACGATGAAATTTTGTTCTTTCGACAATACATTTAATATTTCCAATGGACCCATAGATTCATTACGACTTGAAATTTTTTTTTGTGATGATGTTACTACATAAACTATATTTATAAGAAAGAGTTATCCTATTTATACCCCTACTTCAAAACGCGTTTATATGCTGAAACTGTCAATGCAGAAATTCTTATAGTGCATGGTACAAATATAAATGCAAAAGAAAGTAAAAATAGAACTCCTCTACATTTTGCATGTATTACAAATTATATTGATATTGTTGAAATTCTTGTCTCAAATCAAGCAATGATAAACGCAAGAGATCAAGATGGGCAAACAGCTCTCCATTTTGCATCATCGAAAAATCATTCTGAAATCGTATACACGGTGCTGATATCAATGCAAAAGAAAATAAATACGGAGATACAGCACTTCATTATGCAGCTATTAACAACAGTATAAAAACAACTGAGATTCTTATTTCTCACGGTGCCAATATCAATGCAAAAGAAAATAGTTGTCGAACTGCGCTTCATCTCGCTGCACGAAAGAATAAGAAAGGAATGACTGACTTTATCATATCTCACTATGCTAACGTCAACATAAAAGATAAGAAAGGGAAATCTGCTATTTTTTACGTAAAGAGGATAAAAGAAAAATTCACTGATTATGATGACTTTTTCGATTGAATTTAACATGAAGTTATAGCTTCTTCAGGTAAAAGAATAAAGACGATTTCCAATTCTATAATTTAATTTTTCATATGATTTTAAATGTTTGTGAATCTGAGAAACTTTATGGAAGTTCTAGCATGTACAATGTATGGTTGTGGTTTGAATTCAGCGAAAATATCGCACTCGAATTATTCTATATTTTTCTAAGGTAAGACGTTACCTATTTGATGGGGAAAAGTTATTATAAATCATTATATCCTGCATTATATAGTCACTAAACTGGTAATAAAATATAAACATTTTTTGATTTTGTAAGAATACATCAGAATTGGTAATTGAATACTAATTGCTTAATTAGAATTTCTGATATATGATCTCAAGTGGCATTGAAAATTTTACACATAAATAGAAATACAACAACAAAAACACTATTTTTATACATAATAAGAATAATTAAAATTATCTTGGTATTTTCTTCTCTTCTAAGCATTTGAGACATCGTTTAATATGATTAACAGCTAATTTTAGATCTAAATTGTTGATATTAATATCCGCCAATTCCATTATACATTAAACAAAAAATATCTCCAGAAATTATAGCAGCTGATGTAGGAGCATCTGCGCAATAACAAGAAGCAACAACAATTACTGTCAAAGGATGCATTAAATAGCATTTAAATACATTAGATCCTACTGGGCAAAACCAAAACTTTACAGATGCCCAAACTTTTGAAGCTTCAGCTAAATTGTAGATATCTTCTTGATATTCCCATTTTATTTTTGGAATCATTAGTTTAGTCAAATCCATGATTTCTTCTAAATTATGAATACATCTCGGTTTATCTTCTGGCCTGTTTGTGAATATATATCGCTTTGGTTTTATTTTCCTGAGTTCGAATTTATCAAGGAAATATTCATGCAATCTTTTTCCATGGATACCGAAAAAGTTTATGAAAGGTACTGGATTTGTAATAGTACTGCAAATATCGCATGATACAAATGATTTGTTTTCAAATCTTATCACTCTATTCTGGGGAATATTAAATAATTCTAATATAATATCAAAAACTGGAGGAAATCCATTATAAATAAAATAAGCGTTTTTTGTAAGTTCTTTTGGAACATAACTAATAAAATATAATAAAGGTGTCGCTAAATCTTCTAAGCAATGACCAAAATTAGTATTAACTTCTCCATATCCAATAGCAAAAATGTGTGGATAGTGTCCAATGACACTAAAATTACCTAGATCAAGTCGATCTTCACTATCTATTTTGCGCCAAAAATAAGAATTATCTCTAGTTACGACTGTGCCGACATGATTTACATAACAGTTATATATTTGAATCAAATTATTCATAGGACTCATTAAATCAACATTAACTTTCTTGGTTTCATTAAGATCATTCCACATATTATAAAAAGGAGTATTTATAATATGATTGTAGGATCCATTAATTGTTATATTAATAAATATATCTCGATGATCCCGAATGATAGTAAATGGACTACTGATTTCGGATTTAAATGCAAAAATGTCTATATAATTTAAAACAAGTTGAATCTTATCATGACTGACGAAACTTGGGAACAAGCGAACTAGTAGGCAAAAAAGAAGAAGACTGATGCTGCGATTTCTTCGATGGTTTATTTTAAAATTAAAAAAGTGACCAAAATTTCACAGTCACAAATTCCATATATAGCATTGTTGAGTTTGTTTTTTATATAAAATTGACATTTTCCCTAAATAAAAATATTTCAATGAAATTTCTTTGAGTAATCTGATATACTATCAATCGCTATGGATTGCATTTCACTGGAAGCTAACAGTTATATAAGTTTATCCATTTAAAAAAACAAAAACTATAAAAAATATGATTTTATTTTCAAACAAAAAATTAAACAAAAAATCTAGTTAGATGGAGTACCAAGGTAGCGTGATGGAATGTCTTCAAAGCCGGGTGGATTGTTCTTGTACCAACGATAGAACTTCCATTCAAGACCAACAAACTGGTCTCGGATAGCACAACCTGAATTCATAACAATACGAATGTTGTAGTTACCTTTATTATACATCTTCTTCTCTGTTGTGAGAACTTCGATGTCATCTTCTCGACATTCATATTTATCGCTCAATTCTCCACCAACAAGTTCATTGTTGATGTATAATTGTGCACCAAGTGATGATGACAGTCTGAACTCTAAATATGTGTTTTGTGGAACGTAAAGAATTGTATTAAGTTCAATTGTTGAATATGATTCTGAAAAGTGAAGATCCTCAAAGTTTGGATAAATATGTAATGCGTCAACTCTTGAAGTGTTATAATATGATGTGAATTGGACGCCTCTGTGGCCTTCTGGGAAATGAAATTTCGAAGTATCTTCACAAAAGATGTTAGAATCAAAGCGTTTGCAAGTGCAACCAATTCCATCTGATGTCCTTCCGTAATCTGGTTCGCCATTACCATTACAATCGGCATCATTTTGTAATTCACATGTATCTGTGTAATATCCTGGCAAACAGTCTTGTGTCTCACAGTCTATTAGTGTGGCAACATTATTATCAAGACGTTGGTCGTTAAGATTTGAATAGAGTCCTTCAGCAACACATTTACGATAAGTTCCAATTAGGAGAGGGTAGCATCTGTTTGCATATAGGTATCGATCTGTAATTGTATAATATTGATCTCCTACAAGACAAAAATCACCTTCTTGCTTAAATTCTTGTTCGTCGTTGAATCTTGCGTATAAGCATGGTTTGCCTCTGCTCTCAATCTTATATTTGCCTGATGTCTTTGGACAAAAAGATCCTGATACCCAATGTAAGTCATAAGTACTATATGCTGAATATTCATATTTAGTCAAATTACCTTTTTGAATTACTTGGTCCTCAAAGTATTTTTCTTGCCAAAGATATTTGAGCTGTCCGATCACTCCATTGCTCTTATAAGAGCATTTATTGGTTAGATACTCGCTAATGAAAAAAAGCATCAGAAAAAATTAGCAAATATGATGCGATTTAGCGTCATACTTTTGAAAACGTTTCTTACATTTCTTTTATCAAATCTTTATTGGGTTTGTGATTCTTATTTACTCCTCAAATAAGATTTGTTTTGCTGTTTCTTGTCGGGTATTAGCCTTATTTTGGACTCCGACTATCCAAACATCTTTTCAGATCTTTGAATTCTTACCACAGTTCTTGGTTATCTACAAGCCACACTTTGAGTGATGCTTTTTCTATATTTCATTTCATCAATTAAGATTAAAAAATATATGAATTGTTGAAAATGAGCTTTCTAATTATTTTGAAACCAGATATGGTATCAAATCTTTTGTATATTATCAGGTATAAAAAAAAAAAAAAAAAAAAGGGATTGGGGCTTCCAGGGCTGCGCCCCTCTAGCCCCCTGAAGATGTTTAGTATAACACCAGGTCCCTCGGTCCCTCGGTTAAACGAACTTCTCTGAAAAAATGAGACAACATGACATTTTGACAACAGTCCAGGAAGTCTTAACAAGATAGGATGGTTATTTTACAAAACCGACAAGACCTTAACCGAGTAGTTTTCATGTTTTGTCACTTTTCTGTCACTTTTCAGGGAAAAAACATTTTTATTGTATATAAAATGAATTTTACAAAACCACCGTTACCCTTCTTTGGAAATAAGAGTAGATGTAAAGATATTCTATTGAGAGAACTTAAGAAACTACCGAATGGTCTAACATTTGTAGATTTGTTCGGTGGAAGTTTCTATATATCTCATTTGTGCCATACTGTATTTCCTGACTCAAAGATTATATGCAATGACTTCGACAACTATATGAACCGTCTCAAACATATACCAGACACAAACAAAATATTGAGTGAGTTGAAAGAAAAGATACCTATAGGTAAGATGGAACGTATACCATTAGATAAGAAAAATACTGTCAGAGAGGTTTTGAAAAAAGCAGAGTATATTGACTGGGATAGTATATCTTCTAGACTATTGTATAGTGGTTCTATAAGAGTTCATGACATTGAAACACTTATGTCAAACGTTTTATATCTTAACTATACAAATGTTTTCAAAGAGGACATAGAAAAATATATTGAGGGTATAGAGTTTGTGAGATGTCGTTGGACAGAGTTGTATGAAAAATATAAAAACAAGGAAAATGTTTTCTTTATAGTGGACCCGCCGTTCTATAACACATATGATTTTCAATACCAAGTAGACTGGACTTTGAGAGACTCTTTAGAAACTTTAGACGTTTTACATAACCATCCATGCTTTTACTTTACATCCGATAAAAGTGGTTTGGAAACCGTTATGAGATGGTTAGAGGACATACATGACTATGAGTTTAGATACGATAAGATAGAATATGAGAGAGGTCCTATAAACCGGAAAAAGTGTCACAACAAAGAAATTTTACTAGTAACTAAATGTGGTTTGAAATAGGACTACTTGTTTTAGGTTTTTTCCATTGTGTCATTTACTTATTTGACGTGGCAGAAAGGTACAGAGAATATGAAGATGAACCAATGCCTGCAAATGTCCAGTATATGTACTCGTAAGAGATATTTTTATCTAATATTAAATGGACGCACAGAACTTAGCAAATGCACAGCAACCTGGACAACCAAACCCAGAAAATATTCCAAATGAAGTTAGAATACAAACTGCAATGGCAAACTATGGTCAAGTGCCAACAGATGTACAAATGCAAACTGCCATGTCAAATGACGCTGCGTTAGGTTTGCCACCATGGTATGCAAATATGAGATGGAAAGAGTTTTATACAAACCCCGAAGTGGGATATAAACAACTCTATGCAGATGACGCGAACACAGGAGTTGACCCAGAGTATGTTTTCTACCAGAGGAGAAATAGAATGTATGAGCTCCAGTTAAAGAATGCTATGGAACTCAACAGGAAACGTAAGAGACTAGGCGGACATTAGATTTTTACATATAGTAAAATGGGTTTCTTCAGTAGTATTGGAAACTTCTTTCGAAATGTTGGAAGAGGTATATGGAATGGAATAAAATCTGTCGGAAGAGGAGTATGGAACGGAGTCAAAAATATTGGTAAAAGAGTAGGTCAGTTCGTTGGTATTATACCTAAAGACCCTGAACCAGAAGAACAAGCTCCTGTTATACAACAGCCTGAACCTGCACCACAGTCTAGTTGGCAACCAAATCCAACACCTCAACCGTATTAAAATTATATTTTTACCGTTCGATAGTAGTTGTATATGAAACTAAGTTCTAAGTAAAACGCATGGTATAATGGAACTATTCTCTTTCTTCCATCTGTTGTAAACCATACTTGAAAGTCTGAAATACTTCCACTCGGTGGTTCATATAGCTTTGTAGGTTTTTCGTAAAAGTCATTTGCCAAGCATAAAAAAGAGTTTTGTGCACCAGAAAATGAAGCATGAACGATAATAGCATCTGAGTCGAAAACATTTTCATATGTTCCATTAGGGTTTTCGACTTCATAAAAGTTCGGGTGTACTGGATATTCTGCAGGCTGATTTAACATCCTCAAAATCTATACCATGCCAAGTGTTATATTTTTGTAGAAATATAAACGTCTTCTCCAAGGTCTTCTATTCTATTGATTTTAACAGTTGCATTTTTCCTGTCATATAAAATATCGAGATGGTACTCTCTTCGTCAATGTTGTACTGTTTTGCATATTCGAGATAGATATCGTTTATTTTTTCTTGAAAAGCTTGAAGAGTTGTTTCTAAGTTTACAAGCAAACTAACTTGTAAAAGTTTTCCCTGTTCAAATTTCTCATACGTACGTTTTTCTTTGTTATAGTATCGAATTTCAAAAGCGACCGTAAATGGGAAACCATGTATGGCTTCTGAAATGAATTTCATTCTACGAAAGCCAATAGCTTTTGTGACGGATGGGTCTCTTAACCATCTTAACGGGTAGTCAAAACGATAGCCTTCATGCTTTACGGTCTCTGTCTCAAACTTTTGACCGACGTTAGTAAAAAGTTCATCTAATGGTTTAGTTGTAGCAACTCTTGAATTTTCTGTTTCTATTGAAAGCATATTTTATCTAGAATAAAAATGTCGAAAGAAACAGCGTCTATGAGAGAAATACAACACAACCGACAACTCATTATGCAAGCTCTAAATAAGAACACAACAAACTTTTCAAACTATTCTAAGATATCTGAGTCATTGAAAGAAGGAAACTTAAAACTGACGATAAACCCATTGACAGACGAGTTTCTGTTTCAAGACAGTAAGAACCATACTGTTTGTATAAATCCAACAAAAAGAACTTTAAACGAGAAACCTATAGATGAACTTCTTTTGAAAGCAGATATTGACAACAAAGCTGACAAAGAGTATGTTGACGATGAGTTAGCATATCTGGCTAGTGGGTTAGTGAAGAAGGCAGATAAGGAATATGTGGATGAAAAAGATGAAAAAATTAAAGAAATGGTTGAATGGTACCATGAACGGACATCGAAGATTTTAGAAGGTAAAGCCAATACAGGGTGGGTTTCAGGATGTTTAGACCTTAAAGCGGATAAGAACCATACACATACCATTGCAAATATTACAAACTTACAAGAAACCTTAAACAGGAAAAGTGACGTTGGACATACACATACCATTGCAAATATTACAAACTTACAAGAAACCTTAAACAGGAAAAGTGACGTTGGACATACACATACCTTCTTCTCAAATGTTGGTATAGAAAGTATTTTAGGAACGATTGAAGAAACTGGTGGGGTGGATTATATTTTAAACCTCCTAACTTTCCAGAAGGTTTAACATCGGATAAAGACATTAGATGTAGAAATGTCTATGTCATGGAGGATGAAAACAAAGTTAAATTCACTGCTCAAGATTTATATGATAAAAAAGCTGACAAAACAGAGCTTCAAACGTTAAAGACAGAAATACTTCAAACACTATATCCTATAGGTTCTATTTACACGTCAATGAACTCTACCAGACCAGAAGTAGTACTTGGTTTTGGAACTTGGACTCAAATAGTCGACAGGTTTTTGTATTGTGCAAACTCTTCAAAGGAAACAGGTGGAAGTAAAACGATTTCAGGTGAAAACTTACCTGCACACAGTCACTACATAGATTTAAGTACATCTCAAGCAGGGTTGGCATAAGCATAGATTTTTGGGATTGGTCAGCAATGAAAAAAGGTAAAGGATATGATGTTAAAGACGACGTTCAGTTTGCTATAAAATTGTTTCTGGGGTAGCACACAGGGAGAAGGAAACCATACACATCGCGTTTCAGGGTATACACAAACAACAGGACAAAGTAAAGGACTACATGCCACCTTACATGACAGTTTACGCATGGTATAGAATTGCTTAGTCGTCATTTTCAAACTTCTTTAGCATATTCGTCAGGAGTTGTCTTATATTTTGTTAGGAACTGTCTTTGAAAGTATACCACCTTGAACCTTAACAAGTTTGAAACGAGGTCTGACAATAGTTAGTTTTATCTTCTGCTTGCAGTCTGTACATTTTGGCCATTTTGCCTAAAACTTCATAATATTCTCTTGTATACTTTCTTCTATTTTTACGAACACGAACGTTGAGTACCTGTCGAGTTCCCATTGTTGTCATAGTCAATAGTATTTTCATATGGGTCGCGCTTTAGGTATTTCTATTTTTACTTTGTCACCTTTCTTAAGTTTGAAGCCTGGCATTCTTTCTTGTTTGTCTCTTTGACTAAACTATAAATATATAGTCTTTCTCTAAGTCGGGGTTGTTTTTCATTTCTTCGGGGAGTGGTTTCCCAAACCTTTTTGTTTACGGCTATTGTAAATATTTAAAACTTGTCTCATCTTTGCCATGGAGAAGTGTCTATACTTGTCGTCATATGACATTTCATTTGCTTCACCACCTTGTGGTTGGTTTTAAGTCTCTTAAGATTTTTATACAACTGTCAATGACACCAAGAGCAGAATGGTTTTGGTCGACAATGAAATATTGGTTTACA